TGGGATAGTTACATGAACTATGTTAGGGTCAGAGTGAAGCTGGGGTCATTGAATATATCGAGCCAAGTCTGCTAACCACTTAGTAACCTTTGTAACTACATAGTAAGCACAGCGGTAGGGTATATTTGAATGGGGTACTTGAATGTATCAAACCATTTCATACATTGGATGATCTGGCTGTGGCAACACAAGTGTGAGTTCTGCAGCTGTTCCGAATATCATGTGCACATCCTACTTACAAACATATGGTGCATTCCTTGACATTCGCCACCTCCCCCAGCCCAAGTTCTGACTTGCTCTTGGGCAGTGTGGATCGTGTGGCGTGTCCTTTTACATTTCGTGTCGCACCCATCCGGCTGGAACATGGGATCGTGGATCCAGCCGAGTGATGATCTCATTGCTTTAATTGAAATTTCAAAGTGATAAAAGACGTACCAGGACTCTCCAAAGGGTGCCCAAATGGAATCCTATAGGTAGTGTAGTCCATTGAACACCCCTTGGAGGATCCAGGTGTGCCGACGTGACGCCCCAGGTGCAACGGAGGGCACAACGGACGGGCGCCCTGGAGGGACGAAGGCGCCAGGCTGCGGAAAAGTCCCACAAACAGATGCGCAAAAAGAAGGGTGAAACACCTGGGTGAGACCTGAAAACGTTCTTCCCCTCCTTAGTTGTTAGAATTGATTAGAAGCCCGAAAGGCCCTTGATGCCACACCTGCCCAAAACCAATTGGGGTTTGATGGGTTTTGTGTCCTCAAAACGAAACTAAACACTACACTGACTGTTTGTCAGCGGAATCAGTCATTTCGGGCTGCACGCCCATCCAAGCATTACACCACCCAGCGTGGCTTAGAACCCCAAGTCAATCCGAATTGCATTTTTCATTATCCAAATCCCTGCACGGAGTGCGAGTATGAGCATGGATGAAATCAACATGGGCCCCCTGGCAGCCAGCCCAGAGTGATGCGAATACTCGGCAGCCCCTCCTGCTTCAACGCGAAATGCTCCGAACCCAGCGGTGTCCATCGGTGTCGAGAGTGGAGCAACATCAGCGGAGTGCCGATGTTGAAGACAAGGACCCCTCGGAACCGAAGAATGTGACGCACGACGCACCTAGATTGGTTTAGGTAGATGATTTAGCCATGTCAGTGTGATCGTTTGGAGGGTTCTATGGATTGAGCTCTCAGCTGCTGTTCTTGATTCTTGATTATTGATCAAATCATCTTCAATCATCAGAGTCATCGTTAAGTACTTCTTAAGATTCTTGTATTGTGTCTTCTTGAAGTATGCTTACTCTTCCCTGCAACACTAAACCAGCTTCCAACCCCTCTGTGGAAGTGGGTTCTGCAGTTCACAACGCCGTTGGCTCAGCCCAAGCAATGCACTCAAGTCAAGGCTGCTGAACCCTTGCTCTACTATGTTCTACTCACAGGTGACTGTAGCAGCTTCCGTGTCACATGTCTCCTTTGCTCAATTTCTGCCATCCAACCATGCCTCCGAGCCAAGTGCTCGTCCAGGACCAGGCGAAGTCTGTTTTTTCTCCACGCGTCTCTGGTGCGTGGCAAAATGCTCAACCAGGACTCAACCACTCCGTGAAACTGGGCGAGATACCGACATGGATCCTGCAACAACCACCCCAACTGAACGATCACTATGCCATAATTTGTCACATACTGTCACTGATTGATCAATGGCACAGTACATGCCATCAACCTTAAGCCTGGAAGGTGCCCTGGAAGACTTGCTTCAATATGTTTCAACTGTGAAGACATGTGAAGACCGACCAGGAGTCTGGAGAGTGATGCCAGGAGTCTTTGAGTTTCTGGAATGGGAACTCTCAGCAGCATGGAACCGCAAGGCTCAAGGTCGCTGCTGCTTTGGACACCTGCGGTTCAGTAGTAAATTCCATACAAATCAAGGGAGCTACAGGGCTCAAAGAAGACCTGAGGACTGGACCAAGAAAAGTTATAATGTACACCCTCGCAAACTAACATGGAACATGAAAGAGCGAGTCTTAGAAGAACCTGCTCTTCCCACGGCCTACTTTCAGGTTCTATGATGTTCTGTCAAGTCTGCTTTGGGTGGAAGCCTTTTCCACCAGCTCACCAGCTCAGGGGCCAGAAGAATACCACAAGGTCATGCAGCGACTGAATCATGGTCACACCAGGCACACCATCTCCTTACGGTGGATGGAAGCCAATGTTTGTGTTTGTGTGTGTTACGGCGCACCATGGGGGCATGATGTCTATAGCTTGCAGCTGGTGGGGAGACATTTCTGGTAAAACGAAACCATACCAGGACCATCCTGTCTGTGTCCTGTTGGAGATCTGGTTTGGTAGTGTAGTCATGTGTAGTCCAGCCAGGACACCCCGAAAACGGATGGTCCTGTACAATAATGAATCTATCACATGGATTCCTCCATCCCCTACCTCTGACCTCTGACCGTCTCTACGGGCGAACGCTGGTGACTCAGCTCAGGTCGTGGGGACCCCAGCGGACCGAAAAAGGAAGAGAAGCAACGACCCCCCCCACTGGGGAGGTCCGGGCTCCGGGCCAAGCAGGCTTGGACTCATCCAGGTTTGGCCGTCACACTGGCTACGCCCACCATGTCTGGGACCTCCCAGCGCAGCGAACTGCAGAGTGCCGCCATCCGGAGCTCCTGCGCAGGGTCCGCAGGCAGAGCGACTTTCATGGACGATAGGGGTCGAAAGTCGAAATACTCCTTTAAAGGGTTTGGTCCTTTTTTGCACCATGGTTCCTGCCAAATTGCAAGCAGTTGAAACTGGCATTGTTTTTTTGGTCGATTTGCTCGGGAATCCGAGATTTGCTTACAACAAGTTCATCGTCCAATCATCCACTGATTCTGAAGTTGACTGGCAACTTGACTTCACAAGAAAATGGGTGCCCTAAGCGACCAAAAAATAGAGTAATGCTTGGAGGAGCTGAATCCACAAGAATTAAGAGCGTGGTCTTGAACTTCAGGGGGTTGGTATGCAAATGGTGGCAACCCTAAACGTCGTGATACTTGCGACTGTGACTATCATTGGTACCCCATGTGCCCGTGGCGCCTTGCGCAAACCATATTGGATCCCGAAATCCTTCACCACACGTCCTCCACGACATGTTCGCACCTTTTCTTCGACATCTTCGGGAGCTGGTCGGGTTGGAGGGAGGCAGGTTAGAGGGCCCTGTGACATGACTGGTGTTGAAAGAGGAATCCTTGGGGCGGGGTCGTCATCTATCAAAGGCAATGGGGTTCTTGAAGCCGCTTTCTTCGATCCTCGTTTTGATGGTCTTTCACGGTCCATCACAATGCCCCGGACATCGGAACCAACAGACTTAGGAACCAAGTGAGTAATCGGGAGGGCTGTTGTTATGAAAAAACATGGCTTGTCATAAAGAGACACAAACAATGAAACAATTAAAGTAAGTCATCAACAGTCACAAAGCATCCACACCACCCCTGAGTCAGGTGTTGCAGAGATGATAAGAGTGGTTTTGGGGGTTCTTTGGATTTCTTCTGTTCGCATCAGCCTTCTCTTTGAGCCGGGCAGCGGTTGTTCACGGAGCGGCTCGGCTTTCGCTGTGTCCAGCCTCTTCTTGCGTCTTCCGTTCGCTGTCCATATATACCGTCATAGTCATATGAAGCAAAATCCGCAGGAGAGAAGGGAAATCGTCCTGAAAGAAATATTTGGCATTTCTGTGCAGTACAATTAGCTAGGGATGTGGGAGGTACTTGTGTATTATGTGTCAGTGTATTGATCCAACCCGGCCAGGTCTGGAAAACCAGCATCACCTTGGGTGATGCTGGCGCGACCAGGAAGCTCGATTCGGTGTACTTCAGAACCTTCCTCTTCCACGCTCACTTCAAAGCAAACTGGTCCAGGTAGGAATGCGAAATGTTTGACATGTGGAGCAAGTGGAGCAACAAGCAGAAAAACCGTTTCTAGGAGGAGCAGGAACAAAACGGTCCCTGGCCCTAATACTTGCAAACCGTTGCCGCCCAACGGGCCTCAAAAGCGGTGGGGACATCATTGAATGTCCGGATTCTAAAGACAAACATGTGGGTTTTGATGCAGTGAATGGCTTGCCTTCTGTCAGTGAAAATCAGCAGAACATCCAAGGGTTCATGAAATCCTACCGAATCGCACCTCCGTTCGCCCTCCCAACCGTTGGCGCGTGTTGACGCGCCGCTGGGGAGGGGGAGGGTCTGGCTGGGGAGTGCGGATGACCCAGCAGTGAACCAGCTCTGAGGCTTTGCAAATTTGGATGGGTATTGCAGGGTTTCTTCGACATAAATAAACTATTTGTTTTTATAGATGAAAAGGCAGGAACTGATGGAATTTGCACAGTTGAAAGATCTAGGTATACACCTTCGGACATGGTGGATCCACAGAATTGTGACTTTTGATAGTTATTCAAAAACTGTATGTTCAGCAATCGCTGAGCTGCAAGTGTGAGCGCTTGAGTCTTCTTCCACGAAGTTCTTCCTTGGGACTCTCTATCACTCCCCTTCGCACCCATCAAAAATGCCGCTGCGGCCCTCATGACTGCCAGGAGCTAGCAGCGTCTGCACTAAACTGCCAAGAAAAAAGGCACATGACCAAGGCTCTTCCATACTCCATAGAGTCTTGGAGCTTGAAACACAAAACACGAGACTCTTGGTACCAAAACAAAAAATAGAGTCGACATAGAGCCTTGAATGAGTCCCAGCCTGGAAAAAACAGCAGTTGGTGAAAACAAAAGATCCTGACTCGCTGCAAGAAGGCCTAGGTCTATAGGACCCCTAGGACCCTAAGGATTGCATCCAACATGTACCGCCGGATATATTGCACAAATCATCTTGATTCACCATTAGCAAGGTGCTTTCAAACATTAGATGGATGTGTTATTTTTTGGGTGGAATACTTGCCCTAATGATTTAACTGACTTTTTTTTATGTTTCGAAGAACTCACTGACCGCTACCTAGCTAGCAAATTAGGAAATTTGTCTTTAACAATTTCTGAGGCAGTTGATCTGCGCGGCTGCTATGTCGGCCTCGTCACATCTCGCGACGTGCTGTACATCCAGCCGAGCGGTGTTCTGCGGGAAGCTCACTTGGCCCAATTTTCGGCCAGCTGGTCGAACTGAGTATATGGCGGACACCTGAGTATAGAGCACGGATGAGCTGAGTGGGGCAGGCAGCTAGAGGTCGGGAACAGCAAAAAGTCAAAAAGTGAAAGACCTAAGATGCCAAAGGTGAAGCAATCGGCTGGGAACTGGGAGCTGCAGGGAGCAATCGCCCATACGATTCGTCCAAAGAGTGTTGCATGGCCTGGGCCTTCTCATCCCTGTGGCACCACGTTGGGCTCAAAGACTTGTCGCAAAAAGAACCAAGCAGTCGTTAGGAACTGGCTGGAGATTTGGTCAAGAAGAACAAGGCCAAAGGGGGGGCCTCAGAGAGTTGTTTTCCTGCAGGTTGCAGCTGCACGATCGTTGAGATTGTGACCCTTGTGCGCTTTCTTCGCATCGATGTCCCAAACACAACCGATGGGACTGGCATATTTGCTTTGGGGTGGGGTGGGTTCAGGGGTCGAGTCAATGTATATATGTTTGATACGTGTCTGGGGTTCAATTTCTGGACTCCAACATGCTCATTCTTGTTGCTCCCAAAACTACATGGCTAGGCCTGGCCCCAATTCCAAGGGCCCCCCTGATTCCAACGATTGGCCGTTCCGCCATGTCACCGGTACTTTTCCCTCTCCATCCGAAGCATCGTCGAAACGCCGCACCAAGGCACTGCGGCCCAGGTGTCGCCCCGCGCGGCATCCGCGGCAAAGCACCATGGGCACTGCGTGGACGGAGACGACTCCGGGCAGACTTGCGCGGCGAAGTGCTGGTGGCCTCACCGGTGAGGGGGAGCTTGCACACTGGGAGAGGGGGTTCCAAGTGCAAAGGGGGGTGAAGGCTTTAGGTATGTCAAGGCTAGTATCTCTTGATCAGAAATGGAAGTTCAACGTGCTGCCAAAGAACAGTTTTTAGGTTCAATCGGTGCTCCCCCAAGAAACAAACACAGTCTTGATACTAGAATCAGCACTTGGAAAGCGTTCGGAGTGACTACCTTGCAAGGATGCTCTCAACACCTCCCTATACATGGGAATCCAATCATGGAGATATCGATCCGTTTGTGATTTTTCTTCAACACCTCTTAACATCTTCCAAACGGATCAACACTCCTCTAGGATGGGACCCCCTAATTAGGGTGAATCAACCACTTAAGTGACTTCTACCTGGACCCTCCTTTTGGGGTGTCCTGGCTGGACTACCCCACACTACCTGACTACCTATAGGCTATAGGCTTCCAAACAGGGCACCCCACGGTGGAGAAGGTCCTGGTATGACCTTCTTGTGCTCCCAAAACCCGCCGCTGTTTCGCCATATCGCCTTTGGACGACAGGTCGTCTCGTAGTGCCCTGGCCCTGGTGAAGGTCGATCCCCAAAGGGCGACCTGCGGAGTCGAGTCTCTTCAGAAAAGGCTGGCACAAAGCGTGTTCTATGCGTTCGAACGGAGGAGTCTAGGAGGCTATAGGAGGTCATCCATGCCAAATGCAGCCACCCCGACCACCATTCTCTTTGCCGAAACCATCGACCGACATCGCTCGACCCGATGACCTCCGCACCGCGGAGCTCGCTTGCCACGGCCGCGCGGAGGACCCGCCCAGCGCGTCGCGCGTGGCCGGGCGCGGGGACGCCGCGGGGTCGACCGGCGGGGGTGCCGGGCGTCGAACGGTGTAGTCACCTGGGAAGTGAAAGGATATGGGGAGGCGCTGGCGAGGAGCCTTTTTTGGAAGGGTGGGTGTGAAAAGGAAGGCCCATTTTTGGGCTAAGTATGGTATATTTATTTATCCAAAAATAATCCAAAATCCATGAACATCAAAGATTTTGAATACCAGGTCAGCCTTTTTTCTATTGGTTGTGGCATGTTGTGGCTGACGGGTCCCCTTTGCTCCTTCTCTCTCCAGCGGGCACAGCAGGAAATCATGTTTCTAGTTGATGAACGATCATGCCAAACTCGTCTGCACCTCTTCCCACTGGCCAGTAAGCTTTCTTGGGCCTCTTATTTTTGGCATCAACTCAGTATACCGTTGACTTTGGTGGGTGCAATGCTGAACATCTGCGTCCACACTTCTGACGGCGGTGCACCATGTTTCTTTCCACCTTACACTCCTCAAAAAGAGTAGACCCCACATGACCCCACTCAACCCACCATCATCTCAGGAGGTAAGGAATGAGGACTCCAGACCAAAAAGAAAAAAACAAAAAACAACACAAAAACTAAGCTAAACTCCTTGGTTTAACTGTAGCTTGACCGTTCGTTGTATCCAGCTGCTCTCATTGTCCTACTTGCGCTGCCAGGCGTCTCGGTCCAGGCGTCTCGGCGACATCATGGCTGCCTTAGGCACGCTGGTTCGGGGTTCGCCGACCGGGGCGAGTCACCAACAAAGGTGGAAGAACCCTTATACTTCGGCTATCCCAGTTGGGTACCCCAAGTTACGGCCCTAGTTCATAGTTCGGGTCACTTAACTTACCTCAACTCACCACAACTACAACATCGACATCTTTCCGAGATCAACATCTTGATTTCGACCAACGGCGGGGGCAAATTGGGACGGCGGCGTTCAGAGGCGGGAATCCGGTCCGGTCATGTAGGAGTAGCAACTGAAGTAGCATGATGTAGCGTGTAGGCGCTGGAACGCTCAAGCTGAGCAACCACACCCGACCCGGCCAGGTCTCCGAAACCTGCAAACGGGTCGGAAAGTGAAACCCCTAACTGCCGTGAGCCGTGTGCTAACCGCCGGTGAGTGCGAAAGCCCTCTACAATCAGGGGATTCTCCACTTCCATATACTTCCAGGATGTTCCACAGGAAGATATACAGTAAATTCTCCCTGATTCTGATCACACGATCGGCAGGTTTGTAGACCATGATGCTTTGCGCCATCCGGCCACCGGAGGGAGGGGTCGCATAAGTGGCCCAGAAGAACTCGTTCTTGCCGCCGAGGCTATACCTTGCGAGACCAGGTCGATGGTCCACCCGGCGCCGGGCTATACCAACCGGCGAAGCGGCGAACGACATGAAAGTGGATGGCCCAACCATGTGTCTGTACAGGAAAGGAGGCTTCGTCACTTCTCAGGCCATCCCCTTCCATGTTACACATGTGATGTTCGTTGATGTTCTTCGTCAAAGGAGGTCAAAGAGTCAAAGGGTATACCTTCTCTAAATCATTTGGTGCGGCGATGTATCGCCTCTCCCTCTTTGAGGACAGCTCGGGTGCTGAGATCTTGGAGCAACTCAAAGCTGGCGAAGCTGTAAGAACCTCAAGGCTTCTTGACGTAGATGTCAATGACACAGCGCAATCCAGTGCAAACCAAGCAACTGAAACGAATATTGTCTCCCACACCACGTCTAGCTCTCAGGAATCTGGATACCCTATCATGTATAGTGTATGAATGGCCACCAATTCTAGGATTATATTTAAGTGGTTTGTGAATGAGCTTCAAACTGGAGATTGGCCTCAAGTGCAGGATAAACGTGGATCCTGGATTATTATGTAATACGGTGACCACAAAACATTTAGATCGAGAAGCAACTTCCCTGCAATAATGATTGGATTGGAGATCGTTCTCTATTTGGGCCTCTTTCTTCACCCTGGCTGCCGGAGCACGTCCAAATTTATTAAACAATACCTTGATATCTTTTGACCATTTAAAGTTTAAATAAGCTCCAAACAAACGAGTTGACTATAGTTACTATAGTTGACTTGTATCCACTGTACTGCCCAAACGCTCTGTTCACAGCCCTTAGCTGCTCAAAACTGCAGGGTTTGGTTCGACCCCAAGCCCTCCGAGCCATTCGAGGTTGCCTATGAATCCACGGATTCACTCCTTTGAAGGTGAGCAGGGAACACTCCTGCGATTTCCGGTGCCAGGAGGGTCCACAGGGTCCAGTAGCGAACCCTGAGAAGGTGGATCCGTGGATCGATGTAGGGTTTCAGCCCAGGTGTTCCCAGTCTGCAAACCCAGGACTGAAGCAACATCTCCGGTTGCTCGCATCGGCATGTGGATGATCCGCCAGTTCCCGGCGTCAAGTGCAGTTTCCTCCCGGACGACCGGACTTCCTTCGCCGCGGACGGGATCCCTCGACCTGGGTGGCTTCGTCCAACGCACAACTCGGTGGACTCGGTTCGGTTCTTTCGCATGTCCCGGCGGCGCGGGGTAGCGCGGATGCTCCACGTCGATGTCCAAGGTCACTTTCCCCGGGCCCGGAGTGTCGGGGATCTCCTGAGGCCGCTGTGGCGAAGCAGGAGATCCAAGCGATGGACTGTTCATACCCACAAAGCTAACATGGAACCTGAACATGGACCGGTGGTCTCAACGTTTGATTCCGAATGCAACCCAGTGAGTGGTTTTGGGGTTCCATGTCATTATCAATCTGCAGGGGAGTATTTGATACATCCAAAAGATCCAAGACTCGTTAAAATTGTAGCGTAAAAAATTGAAACAACTGTTTATTTTTTTGGAAACACGATGTTTGTTAATTTGCCAAATTATTGTAATTCATTCTGAATATATACAATCTCCGGCCTAATTGACCGTGTAACAGGATCGATCGGGTGTTGATTCGGTTGTGATCATGCATGCCACTTCTTTGGTCAGGTGACAATTTGGAGACAGCTGTTTCTGAGGTGGCCATTTGCTCTGTCATATTACAGTATATAGGATATCACATCACTTAATAAGGTATCTTGAGATGGTTTACTAGCACCATGTATTCTGAGAATTTATCAATATGATTTTGCGCTTAGTGCTGCAGGAGAACCGGCCATTTTCATTCCCAAGTTCTCACATGTACAAGTTGAAATTGAGGTCTCAGATTCTCTACGGCTCCAAATACCTCCAGTTCAAAGGTTGGGCTGGAGTGTTATGTTAAGGGTACTTGAAGCTATGCCTGGACAATCGTGTTGCGTTCAAATTGCATTCATGTCGTGCTCGCTTTGCAATTCAAATGTCTTTTGCACAGCCAAAGCCGTTCGACTATTGTCGACCATTCTCACACTCCCAAGTGTTTCTTGCCAAAGAAGTGATCATATCAACAACACATTGTGGGGAGCCAAACAGCAGCCACTTCAGATCCCACTGAAAAATAAAGTTTGGTTGACTGGCGTTTGATCAACCAAAGCGCACGGTCAGCATCTCTTTCTTTTTTCAGTCACACCTCCCAAGCTGATTGAGGTTTCTTGCACATCCTCTTCACCAAGGTCAAACACAAATGAACTTGACAACTGTGGCGACTGTGATCCCATCTGAAACACTCGAAACGGACGTCAAAAGCTCCGAAACAACACCCACCTTCCGTAGACCAACTCCGGCAACACCTCCCACTTCACCGAACACCTCACACCTCACACCTCAAAGGGCCCGTTCTGAATCGCGTTGCACCCAAACGGACGCTTTTTGAAACGAAACACCTCAAAAGGGTCCCAAGGGTCGCTGCAGTCGGTGGGACTCTCCACCCAATGGAAACTCGTTTGCAACACTCTCTGGGATACATTTGGATACATTTGGTGGTCGAAATGCATGTGACGGTACATGTCATGTCATATTAGCCTGACATCTCCATGTATCCCTATACACCAATGACAGGACCTATAGGACTGTCTGGTGCCAGAATAGGTGACGAGACCCACACCAAATACGATCCCAATGCGCATCGCGTGGCACCAAACAGAATCCGAACCCATACCAGGACCATTGGACTGTCTGGGTGTCCAATGGACCACCGAAAACACGAAAACAGGGCTCTCCAAACAGGGCATCCAAACAGCATGGTCCAGGTACCAGCACCTTCCAACAGGTCACCACCTGCGACTTTTAAGTCTACAAAAGCCTCCAAAGGAGACCTATTGGAAGGTGCTGGTATATGATTTTCTATGCCTTGGGTCTATCCTATTACCAGTGAGAGTGGATGATGATGGTTAGGTTGCAGGCCTTTCCATCGCTTAATCTAGTGATTTGCTTGTGAAACCCGACGGCTCGACAGGTTTACCGGGACAAACCCAAGGACTTCAAATCTTCCGTTCAGAGCCTTGGGTCCCTCAAAAGATTGGTGAGAAACCCCTTCGACCCCTCCGCATGAGATCATTGCCGACCCCCTGACCTCCTGATCATATGTGATTCGAGTCCCAAACAGATATGACAATACCTGACCCAAACAGTTGGGGATGAAACAGGCGGTTGAGGCCAGATTCGAGTCTAACAGTTGAGGCCCCGAAAGTCCGACCGCCACGGACAGGGTTTGTTCTCCACCGAGGCTCAAACTTGAACTGCCGTACCGCACGCCCAAAGGACCGCGGTCGCTGCTTCACCGGCGCCTCCCGGCGCAGCGAGGAAAGCGCGCCCTCTTTGCCGCGCCGGAGATCCGGGGGGAACGGAACCTGCCCCGAAGCTACAGCGAATAGAACTCAGGTAGCTAAAGCTACCGTTCATGAAACAACGTGGTGTATCCCCCTTTACTATACATAGAGGTGAGGGTCAAACGATGTGTATGAGTCGTGCTGCTCGGTTTGCCAAAAATAGACCATTGCATGCAAGCACCTGTCGGCAAGCGTTTGAACAAGGTCATTACATCCTTGATCAGCCTTCCAAAATGTAGCCTTGCTCTAGGTGCCACCAACGGCGTCAACTGATCAACCCGAATCAACCCTGGCCCTCACGGCGATTCGCCAAACAGCGTGCAAACTTATCATGTAACACTGTAGACTACCTCCATATGTATGAAAAGGTTGTTCAATCCATGTCCGGGGGAGGGTTCATCCAGAAACGACACGTAGCAAAAGGTCGGGCGACCGCCGGGCCGCCTGCTTGCTGTAGAGGTCGGGCGATGCGCCAGTGGTTTGAGGCCAGTAGTCGTGAGGCAAATGATTCCACTCCTGAGTCGGGCGTCCTTGACACTCCATGGAGAGTTAGATGGCACGATCTGCAAGTTAGGTGGTTTATGTGGATCCCGGATCCCCTATCTAAAATACGGCGTGCTGCCATCGAACCTCACCACTGCTAAGTGGATGGCACCCCGTAAGGATGACCATCCTCCACAAACAGGTGGTGAACTCCGCTTCCAAGATTCATTTCATCTACCAGGACCTGACACTGTGGGGTGCCCTGGAATAGGAAGCCGAACGGCCGGATCCGTGTGGGGTAGTCCAGCCAGGACACCCCGAGGGTCGGAGGGTCCAGGTAGTGTACTCCAGCGGGGTCTAGCTTTCTTGTTCATTCTTTTTCCATCCTGCCTCCGTGGGCTCCGTCGAGAGACGGGACTGGGGTGTGGGGTGTGCAAGATGGAAAGTACATGCTGTTCCTTGAAAGGGGTTCACCAGAAGGGAGAAAAACAATACATGCATAAAAGAACAAACCGGCAAACCTATATATATTGGCCATCAATCAAGCAATCGCGAGTGTCTTTGGACCTCTCTAACCAATCCATCTGATAATGTCTGATACTAAACCAAGTGTTTTCGCCAGAATGCATTCTATATGTGCAGGATTCTTGGAACTGTTGTCCACCCCCCCGACACCCGTTTCCTGCAGGATTATTGTCACATTTGGTTCTTTTTTGAGGGACTTTCCCAATACAAACCATGCCCGCAACATCCAAACCCAACAAGTTAATTTGAGTCAGGAGCCCTTATATACAACATATACTATAATAGTTACTAAGTTACTATGGTGCCTCATGCCTTGTATGGGACGTCAATGCAACAAAATAAGTACCTGGAGTTCGGTGTCAATGCTCGCTCTCTCGGTGGGTGTTGTTCCCCTCAAGTCGACCAGTTGCTCCAGGATCCAAGGATCCAACATGTCGACTCCATGTATGGCATGACACATGGACTCTCTTTGAAACTCTCCGGGGTGGTGTCCAAACTCCGTCATAAGCCATGCTCTCAAGGTTGTAAGTTTTTGAAGCCCCCATGTGAACTGGGTGTTCTTCCTTGGACTCCTTTGGCCTGGTGGTGGGATTGTGTGCATTCTAGATGTCCAAAGACTACATGTCACCCCACCAAAATTTCCCTGAAGTTAAAGGAAGCTCTTGAGCCAAAGCCACCTAAAGACTAAAAACATCTAAAAAAACATTCTTGCAAAAACAACATATACCAGCACCTTCAAAAGGACTCTCCTGGCTGGAATACCCTGAACCTGCTTGTGGATCGACAGGACACCCCGATGCATGGACGGGTTGGTCGGTCACCCGGCCAGGCAACCCGGTCGCCGCTGCCAAAGCCCCACGAAGGTTGGAGTCCCTGAGGTGATGACGGAGGTGTACATCTGGATCCCACATCCGAAACACCACGGATCTTTGCAGAACATTCGTATATCACCAGCTATAGAAATGCAGTCCCCAGCTATAGAAATGCCAGGCCACATGCTGTGACATGTGTTTTGGGGGAGTAGGTGTCAAAAGGTGTGTTTCCGCCTTGATTGAGTCTGTTGGCGCCGATCCTTCTTCGACCCAAAACACAAATGACGTTCCAATCTCATGGAGTGTGTGGGTTTTACCAGGAGCCTTCCCAACAAGTCAATGCAGCCTCCGGACCGATTCTGCGTCGGGTGCTGGTATGACAGATTCTATTACACTCCCTGAAACAATCATGGCTACGTGGATGGCATGGCCCGCTGTTGGATGACCATTTCCGGAAAACAACCGGTGGTTCATGAACTGCACTTCGTTGGTTCCGAGGGTCGACTCATGCTGTCACATATTCTCACATACTGTAACATGGACCTTGAGAATTGACCCGTGTGGTCTCAACGGTTTTCCTCGATACAAACCCATGCTATTTGGCTATTCGGGGTTCCATGTTCATATCCCAAATACTCCATGGGACCGCCATAGGACTGCCGATCAGTTGGAGTCATTTGTGGGGTCAACGGGGGCGGCAGTCCTATGCCAGTCCCATGGAGTATTTGGGTATATATATATAGATGAACTCAATCCATCTAAATCCTGATTCTCAGCTTGGGAGTGTTTGGGTATATATAGATGAACTAAACCCTGACTCTCAGCTTGGGAGTTTCTCTGCTCCTCATCCTCATTCCCTTTCCCGACGACAAACGTCGCGCCCGACGTTCATTAATTTGGGCAGGAAGAAGCCGAGCGATGTGAAGCCGAGTGACGTTTTCGACCCAAAACCAGCGGTCTAAGGTGCGGGTCTTCAGTGTCTACCCGTCGACGAAGTGATAACTTATACTGATACTTAATTTATCCACAAGCCGTTCTTCACAACGCAGAACTTCTCTCAAGCCCACCTTGCTCTTGCTTGGGCTGTATCTGCCAGGGCCAGGTGAGGTCTCCTGGATGCGGAGACTGAGGGAGGGAGCATCATCTCTCAAAACACCTGTCACATTGCGGTCTCGTCTGCGGTCAATGGTGAAAACAACACACCAGCACAATCCCACCTGCAAGAAGCATTAAATACCTGGACCCGGCGACGAGTGTCGGACGTCGATCCATCCGTCTGAAGGCTCTTCGGACATACCTACCCGCTGATCGGTGGCTGTCTGGAGATCGTCTCACATCTTGCTGCCTTGGCCGCTCCCCTCACCCCCCAACAGTTGCACACTCATGGGGGTGGGTGTCTTCCTAACAGTTGGGGGATGGATGTGGTTGTTTACTCACTTCGCTATCCACATCGACATCCACATCCCATCCATGCAAAAACAGCATTTCACATCCCATCCGCATCTCCTGCTCGCCCGCGAAGCGCTGCCCAGTCTTCCGCGGACTCCAGCTGGGTGCGGGGCCCAGAACCCAGCGTGGCGCGGTGCCGTGCTCAGAGAAGTGCCTCGTGGCGCCAGCAGCTGGGGATAGGTGTGTGCCGTGCTCGAATGAGTCGTCCATAGCCAAACACTCCATGGGACTGCCAGTTGTGCTTACATTGACCCCGCGAACTACCCCAAGGTAGGGTAAATATGGCATACGTACTGGCATACATAGAGTATCTGGGATATGATGTTCGGAGAGATTTGAGGAGTCCAACAAACATGCACACATATGGAGTTAAGAACATATTTGGAGATATGTTTGATATGAGTGGAAAATGTGCCAGGACTCATGAAGCATGGATCTCTCTTGAAGGTGGTTCCAGGTTTTTGGAGTCCACGTCCAGTTTTCAGCTGGTGAAGAAAAAAACATGCTCAGTCCTGCACACAAACACCATACCAAAACAGAACAAAGGATCTTTGCAGTGTTTGTTGCAGGGCTGGCTTTGATGGTCCAAGTGTGCTTGTTGGAGCTCCCACACTTAGACATCTGGCGCGCAGTACCAGCGTGAAGGAGAGAACATTCACGGAACCCAGATCGGTGCAGCACACCCTCTGCCAGGAGAAGCAGTGAGACATATAGTGAGTCAGTTCAGCGAAACAAACAAATTTTTTACTTCTCAGTGTAGATAGAAAGTTTCTGACCATTTCTGGCCCAAATCTCATTGGAAGGTTAGTTGGTACCCCAAAATGCTAGTGCTTCTAGCTGAGTCCAAAGAGTATCATACATTAAGGCACACAAGTGGAGGTGACTTAAAACGGCATTCGTTTCACACTCTGCTCATACGACAGTCACGAAGCTTCTGCTGAGGCACGTGAGCACCCGGACACGAGGGCTTTCGCTACCCATTGCTCATGGCCCGTGGGTGGAATCGAAGCGATCTGGTGAATCGATGCAGACATGACATGTTGCATTGTGGGGCAAACGATGATCAACATTCAGGTTCTAATTGACCTTCAATCACTTAAACCTTCCCCGAAACTTTGGAGACTCAAGGTACTTGACCTTCAATCACCTAAACCATCTTAAACCCTCCTTGATCTTGGCCATATCTGCAAAATACGATGCCCTAGGAAAATCAGCAGCCCGGGCACCGCACCGGTTTGGGATCTTCTTCAAAGGGTCTTCCGACCCGACCGTTCTGGGGGGGGGGTTCCCAGGTACCTGTCTAAGGAGTTCGCCGACCCCTGAGGTCTTCTGGCCTAAGTGCTAGTTGGTGTTCAAGTGCTGATGAGGAACTTCAACTAGAAGACTGAAGAGGCATTTAGTTCGCCAACTTACTTTGTGTCCTTCAGTCTTCCTCTAGATTCCTTCAGTCAGAACCACGAGCCTCGCATAGATCCGGAGCACAGTTCATCGAAGGTCTGCACAAATTCCTGTTGAAGAAGTGCTGTACACATTTATCCTTTTTCAAGGAGTTGGAATCGAAGGTCTCTATTCACACTTGCTCTGACAACCAAACCAAAGCCACTCCCTTCTAGCAAAGGAGCATCTTGGTCCAACCACCATCCAGTGGCATCAAAGAAAACAACACAATCTCTGGGTGACTGGGGAGTCAAACCACATCGCAAGAAAGACCAAAAAAACAGCCGCCCCCGCCGGTGGAACATACCTCCGCAGCGCCTTTTTTCCCGCCTTTTTTGGGGGACAACTCCTGCGGTCTGACCCCAGCCGCGCCGCTCTTCAGCGCGGTGTCCCGGGAAGTCAAACGGAGTGCATTTGCTTGGCGTTCCGCGCGCGCCAGAGTCGAGAAAGGATCCTCGTGCGCGGCGAGCGGCTCGACCAACAAAAACAAACTGAGGAGGAGTGAGAGGAGCAGCGATCCATGGATGGGAGTCCATTTGATGAACTATATCCAATCATGAATCTTGTAATATAAAAACCCAGACTACTAGAAAAGGGCGAATTTAAGATGTTTAACGTGTTTTAAGTAATCAATTATCAGGCATATCATATCTTCCAGCCATCGCAGCGTTGGAGTGTGTGGAGTAGTTATAGGTTATCCAGTTCGTACAATACCACAACTTGGCCGCCCCAGCATTTCATTCTCACAAATCCCTAAATCAACAGCTCTGACGAAACTGAAGGGCCCCGATTGTTTTTTCATGGTTTTTCTAGGTGTTTCTCCCTTGAGAAATTGCGGGATTCCTGCCAGAAAGCCTTGTCAAGGTTCACCAGGTGGACTGAGGGCCTTCTACCAACCTGGCAGGCAGGGCCCCTCCAACAAACACCCTCACATAGAACTCGTTGCTCTTCTGTCCAAAGTGTCCACGGCATTGGACTAGTCGACAAGGGAAAAGGATTGAAAGCTGCTTTTCTCGGCCACGGTCATATCGCCGCAAGGCAGTTAAGACAGTTCGTTGTCGTTGTCCGCTGATCTTGCACATGTCTGCAAAGAAGAGGTGGGATGAAAGGCCCCTAAATGAAAGGCGCCACACTACTGAGTCTGCCCCTACACAAGTTTATTCAGTACAACAAAACAAACATGTGTTGTACTGGGCCTCACTCGCCATCCAGCCAGTTGCTCTTTGTTGCCGGAGTTCCTTGTTTAGTTACTGGGATCCCCTGCAAACATCCAGTCCTCTGTCCTTCCACCTGCACGACTATACATCTTATTACATCTACTTTGAAGCCCGGGCATTCAGGCGAATCTGCTGTCAGGGAGAGGCCTTGAAGCGCTTAATTCGTATGTAGAAAGCAGGAACTCCGGACCGCATCGACTCCAGGGATAGACCGGAAGAAACCCCAGAATCATAGGAGAATCACCACATCTCCTTCCTCAGCCGGTGTCAAGCCACATGAGGCAAAGAATGCCCATCAGCAAGCCAAACATGCCCGACTGGACGAGAGACCTCAGCTTTTCGCTCCATCCAAGGGGGGCTCCGTGACCGTTTCTCGCACGTTCCGAAACACCGTCGAGACGCCGTCCGCTTCCCGGTGGCGGTGGCAGGCATCGCAAAAACAAATAGCCAGCAGTCACAGTTAGGGGTGCTATCCATGGAGATTAGGAGTGCCCAGCTACTCCACTCACTGGATGGGACTAAACACCACTCGCCACTCCTTTGTGACTCCTGGAGATTGAATTTTAATGTAATCCTTTTGAACGCTGGGATGGTCAAGATCTTCAAGTGCTCCTGAAAGGATTGCACTTGAACCTGCTGTGCGTGTGTCGTGCATCTCATGACAGCGGAACGTGCGATGTCTGTGGATCCATGTCGTCACGTCGGTGTCTCCGGGCGTCTGTTCTCCTTGCCGCCTCACCAAGGCGCCCCAAAAGACCGCACAGTAACGAACAGTGAATGACTCAGGGAAAGGCGTAAACCAAATTGGAAAAAATGGACGAGAAGGAACAAAGATCTGCGGAAGTGTGGTATTGGTGCTGCCCAAACACTCCATGTATGCAATAGTTAGACATTTACCATCATTTTAATTTTACCTCATTATGTACCTATTCCATACCAGGGTCATCCAATGGGTGTCCATTAGACTACCCTACCCCACTTACAGGTCTCCATTGGACACCCATTGGAAGTGCTAGCTACATTATATAGATGATCTGGTAATTTTTATGTCTTCGCTTGTGTCCAGCCGTCCGACGCTACACGCATGATGGAACCTGGATCTACCACCATATCGGTGGCAGCGATGGTCCATCGCCCTTGGTGTCCACACCACCCAGGTTGGATGCTTATTGAATGAGGGAACCACTCGTGACGGAGGTGTCTTTCAACCACCCTGCTGCCCTGCTGCATCGGCCTCTCGTTCAGCCATCCCGCTGCTCCCGCGTCCATGCGTTGAAGACTTAGAAGACCTTGCCCAGGGCGCGGCTCCTGCAGGCTTTGGTGTCCACCAGCCAGAGATCAGGTTCGTCTTCAGTTTCAACAAAGAACGCTGCTCCAAGTCAGCCATATTCATATATATGTTTTATCGCTTACAATATATGACATATAATATAGAATATATGGTCAGTTCCCCCAATGACAAAACATGAGTGTCGTTTTCAGCAAAAGCATAATACCTACAATGAAAAAGGACACAATATTTGGGAAGTCTCGAGGGACAGGTATATAGAAAACTCTGGGTGATTTTGAGGAGGCTGCAAGAAGTTTCAAGTGACAAGACTACCACAAGACAAACAAAAGGTAGTTGTTGGAGACGAACACTCAGACTTTTTCTTTCTTTGTGTGTGTTTTAATTGTTGTTAAATGCCAACAGGTGTCATTGTTTAAGACAATATGTTGAACACATGTGCTGGAATGGGGGTTCAATATCATCAATTCGCGTGTGTCCTTGAACCCTCCTTTCAGTGATCTTTTGCAACATGTTATATAAACATGTTCATCATTCATGCACAGCTCCCCCTTCATAAAGTAGGCTATCCCATCACTTTCCTTTGATCCCATCCTACTTTTTTGATCTTTCTGGATCTTTCTGGTATATTTTGTTGGCCCCCTTCCATCTGAAAGTCCAGCCTTTCAGTAAGGGTCCCACCCTTCGCAAAACAACATCTGCCATTCCCAAATCTCGTTCTGTGCCTTCTTTTGGGGTGTTCCTTCTTTGTTTTGCTTCTTCTTTTCAATTTTCTCTTCGAATCACGCCATGCAACGCTGTTCTTAAGTGCCCCAACGCTCCCCAGGAGATTGCACCCAAAGGCTGGTGATATTCTGTTCAAACTGGGCCGGTTGGACTGCCAAAACTCTTTCGGAAGCCGAGTCTTCGTGGAACTGGGCCGTGACAAACTCCCTGACACGGAGACCTCCGCCAGTTCCGCTGGGCTTGGCACATCCGGCAGCTCCTGGTGGACGCTCTTGGCACCAACAGGAGATCAAATTTGGACAAGTCGAAAAGTTGGGTAGACAAAAGTGACTGGACAATACTGGACAGTCTTTTTTCGAGCAAACCCCCATTGTCTGTCCAGAAACGGCACATGTTGATTTGCACTGAGGGCGCGTCAGCAAGGTTTTAGTAATCTGGTCATGGGCCAAGAATGCAACAATGGTAACAGGATGGCTGGACTTGGAGCCCCACATGCGAAGTTGCAAATAGAAATCACTGGAAAGGGATGGAAAGGGTGTGAGAGATGTGGACGCGGTTGCAAAGCACAATGAGGCGGGATGTGTTCTCCTTCCATCTGAAAGTCCAGCCTTTCAGTATGGGTCCCACCCTTCGCAAAACAAATATCTGCCATTCCCAAATCTCGTTCTGTGCCTCCTTTTGTGGTTTTCCTTCTTTGTTTTGCTTTTTCTTTTCAATTTTCTCTTCGAATCACGCCATGCAACGCTGTTCTTAAGTGCCCCAACGCTCCTCAGGAGATTGCACCCAAAGGCCCAAAGGCTGGTGATATTCCGTTCAATCTGGGCCGGTTGGACTGCCAAAACTCTTTCGGAAGCCGAGTCTTCGTGGAACTGGGCCGTGACAAACTCCCCACTCCGCCAGCGAACTCGTGACAGGGAGACCTCCGCCAGTTCCGCTGAGCTTGGCACATCCGGCAGCTCCTGGTGGCCGCTCTTGGCACCAACAGGAGATCAAATTTGGACAAGTCAAAAAGTTGGGTAGACAAAAGTGACTGGACAATACTGGACAGTCTTTTTTGAGCGAACCCCCATTGTCTGTCCAGAAACGACACATGTTGATTTGCACCGAGGGCCCGTCAGCCAAGGTTTTAGTAATCTGGTCATGGGCCAAGAATGCAACAATGGCAACAGGATGGCTGGACTTGGAGCCCCACATGCGAAGTTGGAAAAAAAGTCACTGGAAACGGATGGAAAGATTGGAAAGGGTGTGAGATGGGGACGCGGTTGCAAAGCACAATGAGGCGGGATGTGTTCTCCTTCCATCTGAAAGTCCAGCCTTTCAGTATGGGTCCCACCCTTCGCAAACAAATATCTGCCATTCCCAAATCTCGTTCTGTGCCTGCTTTTGTGGTTTTCCTTCTTTGTTTTGCTTCTTCTTTTCAATTTTCTCTTCGAATCACGCAATGCAACGCTGTTCTTAAGTGCCCCAACGCTCCCCAGGAGATTGCACCCAAAGGCCCAAAGGCTGGTGATATTCCGTTCAATCTGGGCCGGTTGGACTGCCAAAACTCTTTCGGAAGCCGAGTCTTCGTGGAACTGGGCCGTGACAAACTCCCCACTCCGCCAGCGAACTCGTGACACGGAGACCTCCGCCAGTTCCGCTGAGCTTGGCACATCCGGCAGCTCCTGGTGGCCGCTCTTGGCACCAACAGGAGATCAAATTTTGTCAAGTCGAAAAGTTGGGTAGACAAAAGTGACTGGACAGTCTTGAAGAGAGCGAACTCCCATTTAGTCTATCCACTATGATGACACATGTTAATTTGCACTGAGGGCGCGTCAGCAAGGTTTTAGTAATCTGGTCATGGGCCAAGAATGCAACAATGGCAACAGGATGGCTGGACTTGGAGCCCCACATGCGATGTTGAAAAAAACACTGGAAAGGGATGGAAAGGGTGTGAGAAGGGGACGCGGTTCATTGAATGAGGCGGGATGTGTTCTCTGACGAAGAGGTTTGGTGTATGATTACTGTATGAATGGTACTGATGGTATGTATGTTACTGAATGGTATGAATGGTACTGAATGGTATGATTACTGTTCTCTGTATGATGGTGTATGTACTTGGGGGAGTGCTGAACTGATGCTTGTAGTTCCACCTAAAGGTGGTTCCACCTGGAGGAGTTCTTAAACCAACGTCCGAAGTGGCTCTTGGATGGTGCCCAAGCAGTGTCGTATACGGTCTTATATATATTATATATATACTGTATATACTCATGTAATCTATACGATCTATATACTTAATGGTCAGACTTGCTGAGAGTTTGGGGAACCTGCCTCAGGTGGTGGACCTCATGTCTTCTTCAGCTACATCCGGAGTCTCCACCCCCGTGCTCCGCTGCAGGGTGAGCCTGCTCCACCTTGACCTCAGTCGCGTGCGCCGGGTCCGTTTGGGGGGTCGAAGGAGCCTGCAGCCTGACTAGACAAAGGGCCATGGCTCTGGTAAAGCATGATAAACAGAACACAAAGCTCGTAGAAAGGAAGGCCTAAGGATGTTCCAATATTTTCGCTTTTGCGGGTTCATATTTATAGTCCTACTCACATAGCCTATTAGATCCTATTCCAACAGCAGGAGGGTTGAACATGGTTGAACAGTTCACACATTGGAGAAGCCGTTAGACTAAGTTGCCAAAAGGCTTTGATACAAGATGTCCAAAGCCGTGCCGAAGCACAAACCAACACTCGAAACCATAGCTGTTGAATTGGTCGAACCCTACTTTCGGTCAAACCAAAAAAAAGGCCCGACCCAACCCATCCTCGCCGGAATTCGCCGGACTCTCCCGACCCCATGACCCTGCCTCCTGCCAAGGCATCGAAGGGGCCTCACCGCCGCTCCACGGCGAAGCTACGCGGCGAAGCGCGGCGCCACCAGTGTTTCACGAGAGAAGCTGAAGGGCAGGGCGCTGCACCTGGTGAGCTTCCTCGTGGAAAACCCCTAGGCTTGGAGGTCTTCTGGGTTCGCAGTAATTCCTAAAGTATCAGAAAATTTGGTTGGTTTGATCTTACCAAGGCCTGAGCAAAGCCGAGTGAAATCGGACACCCAGGGAGGATGGCAGGATCCTTCAGAACTTCACTTTTTTTGTCCGGCGAGTTCCTGAAGTGGCCCGCACAAATACTTGAAGTCCTCCTTTGAATGACGTCCCACTTCGCCCATCTCGGCACATGACAGCAGCCTTTCCTCCCCCCCTACCAGTAACACCTCTCCCGGTGCTCCAGATCCCCGCGTGCCACTCTCCTCCGCGCGCAAACCATGCCCAACCACGCCAACCGCTTTGCCTGAATCTCGCTGGGCACTTGCCGCTCAGCCAAGTCCTGGGCAGCTTCAAGGCTGGTATACCTCGGGCTCGGCCCCCCACCACCCACCGCGCGACCGAGACAACAGCGACCGAAGACTTCGAGAACAGGAGGAGGAGGAGGAGGGTGAGGCAAACGCCACATGGATTGCTGTACGGAACACTATAATCGAACGATCCATTCTGAAGAACACAAACAAACAACATATTATTCTGCAGTGACCAACCATTGGTGAAGTGCTGCTTGTGCAGTGTGAGAAAGAGAAAGACATGTTTACTACTTTGTTTAAAACTCTTTCCCCCCGTAAATCGCCCAAAAACCACCCCCCCGCCGCGCCACGAGAAAAAATGCAATCCTGGTTTCGTCGCCCAGTCACGAGATGTAGCCCATGGAGGTGGCAAACTCGAAGAGCTTCATGTTCTCCTAAGAGCCAACCCGATTGACACATAAACAAACAGCGCCAATGGCTGCATGACATGAGGTTCGGTCTGGTGGGGTCTAAGATCAGGGTGAGAAGCCATGGCTCTGATCGAGACAATCACTTGGTGGCCGCATCAGGTGCATTTTGGGAGTCGAGCCTGCACAGGCTCTGCATGGAGTTGGCACCGGCGCCGCTCCAATGGCCGGATCAGTAAGTCCTGTTGCCTACTAACACACGCACAGGTCGGTCACTGTAGGTCCGTCCTTGACCGGTTGACCTATCTTGACCTCTTCCGTGTCCAGACGGCGACGCGGACAGACCGTCGCCGTCGGTCTGAGCGGGTCCGCTTCAGTCCGAGCGGCGAAGCGGCGCAGCAACGGAAGCCTCGGTCGGCGCGGCGCGACGCGAAGGGACGGGAGCGAGGCGCCGGGGGAGAAAAAGGGCGAAACAGAACAGCTTGGAACAGCGAAACTCGGTCGAATCATTGTGGGTGTTACTTACTACCCCGCCGCGCAAACACGCATGGAAGTGAAGTTCATACCTGGATTGTAGGGGATTGAAACCTATGAGGGGCCATGCCATGCCACTTCGATGTGTATGTTCCTTGTAGCTATCCCAAACACACTGGGAAGATTTGACTGAGCGGTTCAGGGTGGCTGAGGAATTCAAGGGGTCTTCAATCTCGGTGAACATTCCATGTCGGTCCATGTTGGGGTACCATACCTATCAATCCGCCGACCCATACCTGCCCACCAGGTTCTTACAGACCTGGTGGAAGACCGTTAAATTCGTCAAGGTGGTTGGTGGAGCACTTCCTGCCCCTGCGAGTTCTGTTGAACTTCATGCGTTGCTCCGAAAAATGGGCTGCACATGTTGGTGCACCCTCTGGTGCAACCTGTGCGGCTTTCGCAGGAGTGGATTTGCTTGGTACATCCCCGAAAAGGGCACACGCTCAGAATTCGAAGGATGTGGATTCAGGAGCTCCAAAAAGCCAAACAAAAACATCACCTCTACCCGCACCTTCCAAGAGGCATGGCGCCTTATTAGGACATGGCCATAGCCGGATCAGATAAAACAAATCGGCGCCCCATCGGTGCTCACCTGACCCACACGGTTATAGCCCAGCAACGGATGAAGACAAAAACAGAAAACAGTGGGAAAAAAAAGATGAAAAACGATTCAAACAGATTCGAAAGGATTCCACCCTTTTGATCGCCCAGCCACGGATAGGTCAAGTTCTCCTGCGCCTCCGTGGTGTTCCGCGACCCGAAGAAGCTCTTGGACTCCACGCGGTCGTGCCCACGGTCGTTCCCCTACCGGGTGGCACCGGAGCACCGGGTCGCGGGGCTGGGCCGTGTAAAGCTCCAAGGAAAAACACAAAAGATCACCAACTCCAATGGAATGATACATGGCGCCATGAATGATATGTATATGTAGTTCATGATACACATGTTCATGTAGAATCTCAGGTGAGTGTACACTTGAGAACAACATGTTTGCGTTACTTTGCTTCTGGCTATCAAGTCACCTTCTAATCATCTTCTGCTCACATTTTGTTTGCTTCGGCCAAAGCCTGCAATCTAAGATTGCTTTTGAGTGCCAACTCCTGAAACAAAGGTAGTTTTGTTTGACAACCCTCAGCAGTTGGCTGGACTCGCACTCCAACTCCAACTCTTAACATTGGACAAATAGTAGGTTGACAGTCCTGACGAATCGGATCATTTTCGGCTTAAACAATAAACATAAGGATCTGGGTTTGGACACAAGAAACGAATTTCCAGTCTTGGGTGCCACATGGTGCCACCAATTCTCCAAGAAGCCGGCAGACTATAAGCTTTAGCAAAAGACCTCTACGGAGAAGACATCTACATCGGCGTCTTTGGCCTTCTCCTGAAGCTTGTCCATGGTCGACTGCTGCACGGCACAGTCCAACTTCTCCTTCGACACCTGGGACCGACAGGGGTCCCAATTCCAGCAGCATTGGGGGTCCGCCCCAGGTTGAAAGTGGTAAAACAACAAGCAGTTTTTTTTTTAATTTCCGCAAGCCTACGTTCCCAAGCATGGAAAACCACCAAGAAACAACCGCAAAACAAACCAACAACATTTAAACAAAATGGGACAAACGACGACAAACGCCTTGGTTTGGGCGTTGATTGTTCTTTGAGATTCGACATCTGCGGTGGTTACTCTTCGTGGATTTGTAGGCTTTTCCAACATGTTCCTCACTCTTCCATTCCGGATGCTTGCGGGACCAGCAAGAACTTCCTGGATAGTGTGGCCTGCAAAACGAACGGTGCAAAACTGCCTGGACCTTCTTTCGCGGTGTCCTGTCTGGAGGTCCCGGATAGTAGTGGGCTGGGGCGAAACCAGCCAGGTGACCCCCTTGAAGGTGCTGGTGGTAAAACATGGTGAAAACCGTTCTCACTGGGCTTTGCTTACACCTGCGACTTGGCGAAACCATCCTGCGCACCTCCACTTGCAGGAACTGCAAGATCCGCTGCCTGGGCGGATCTCCGTCTGTCCGAAGGAGTTTGGTGTGTGATTTCTGGTGCACAGAAGACCCACGTTGACGGTGTGTGGATGGCGAACAGGGGATGTGAACTCCATGGGCATGTGACTGAGTAGATGATCCGACGCTCCGTTCAGCTCAACAGGTTCCTCAAAACCCTAGGGATTTGAGGGTCCGGACCCTCCAAAGGATTCGGGTCCGGCCCCTACTTAGTTCATGAGCGTCTGGGCTGATCATTTGGCAGGTCAAGACATGTCAGAACGCATCGACCGGGGATCCCTTCGTTTGAGAAACCACTGGTTTGCCGGTTTCAAATCTGGACACAAAAGCAGGGGGACCCATTGGGAGCCAACATGGAACTTCTCTCATTACTCAATGTCTCAGAACTACTCTCCCTGGAGCTAAGGAGTGGACGCCTCCCTGTTTGTGGAGGGAACATGATATTCCAAGGGACCATGCCATCCACATAACCATGACGACCCGTTCCAGGGAGCGCACTGTTAAAATGACCGTTCAGCTCCAGTGAGTGAGAGCTGAATACCTATCTCATTCATTCATCCTCCAGCTGAGAACTTCTCACAAGAATTTCGTAATACCCAGACACAACTAATGGGACTGCCATATATGCCGCCCCATTGACCCCCAAAACCACCCCAATGTAAGCATATATATATGGCATACATGGAGTGTCTGGGATATTTGGGTTTCACTGAATGGGTTTTGAACATCAACCGGGGGCGGGGCTGCATGTGATACCTCCACTTGGTCCAGGTCACAACTGGAAGCAACATGCACGATAGTCAACAATGTAGAGTCCTAGGACATAATTGTTGATTAAAGAAGAGTATGGCCCTCTCACTTGGCGCCTGGCCGGGGCGATCCTATGTAATTTAAGTTACAGTAAATTAGCCGGATATTTGGAGGTTCTGGCAAGCTCATGAGATTCGAACCTGACCCAACTCACACAGGCCGCCACGACCTGACACTGCTCTCATCACCCGTTTCTTTCACTACCTGCGACTGTCTCAGTCGCGAACCAACGGCCGTCACCCGGCCGTCCAGGCCGTGGTGCCCATCGATCACCCCATGCCCGTGGGTGCATGCGCAAACAGGTCCTGCCAGGGGGCACTTCATAGGCTGGCTGCGCCTTCAAACGTTCGTAGTACACCAGCATCCCCTGGTTCCGCTCATGCAGTCGCGACGACCGGATCGTGCGCACGGCGACTGCGGTGACGGTGGTGTAGTTTCCACCGATTTGTTACCTTTGCCAAGTCTTTTTGGATCTATCTACAGGTGAACACGGGTGAACACTAGTGTGAACATGTGTGAACATGGGCCACTTCCATTTGGCTTCCTTGGTGCAAATCAGCAGGTGTTTTGTTCCAAGTGGAAAGGTTGACCCTTTTTTCAGCTACAAGGAATCAATATCTTTTTGGTTGGCTTGTCTCCCAAGGAAGATACCACAACCAACTACGTTCATCTAAATGCTTGACGAGGGTTTGTCATCTAGGCAACTGGACAAGACTTGTCACATTAATTCACATGACATAACTTAAACAAGGGAAATACATATACACAACTATATATATATACAATACACCTGGTCTGCAAACAACATCCATACACTCCTTGTATGGCATATATGCCTACAACTATCCCTACATTGATCCCTCTTCAACCACCCGAATGCATGGGATATATAATTTCATCATAATATAGGTTCTCGTGTGTTTCTCATCGTGCAACTCCAAAACTCCTTTCGCGACTCGACTGGTTTCCGGCTCGGCCCGGCCCCCGGATTCATCCCATCATGAAGCCATGACTCTTGCCGACGCGCTTCCACCTGAGGAACTGAGCAGAACTGTGTGCATCAGGGATGTAAGGGGGGTACAGTACCGTAAAGATGGCACATAGCTGGAATAATTATGAGGATGAATAAGGGGAGGTCAAACTTCAAGAGTCTTGAATGTGCTTTTCTTTGAGGTTTGGTGTGAGGATCTCCTAGGAAGCTACTGAATCTACCACACTGAGCAACTGGAGGAACATGTTTGTCAGGATGCGGCCAACAAACTCTGAGAACAATAGAATGGGGGAGCCTCAGGAGCGTGTCTTTGTCCACGGTCCACGGGGTACGAGTGACTATAGAATCCCGGAGGCTCTACTTGAAACAACATGTTCCACACGTGCCTCCCCTTGTTGCCTTGTTTTCAACTCCTCTGGCACTATTCCAACGAACTTCTGAACTTCTGAAGAATGTGCAGGTGCTGTCGTCAGAAGTTGATGAATAGAACCGACCGACATATGTGTGGACAGTCTGACAGTTGATGAACATCACGACCGGGCTTCAATGGGGTGTTTGTACATGGCGGTTTGGTTTAATGGAGATCCCGATAGGAGCGGGCTGGGGCTTCCATGGGTGACCGCTTTGAGTGTGCTAGGATGGTGTTGATGAATTGTCCGCTTGACTGTTGATGAATAGAATAGAACCTCCCTCCTTTCCTGGATGGTGAAGCATCTTCGGGGGGGCTTGATGACACTATCAACGCATGTAATGCATGAACCCCTTAATGCATGACGGGCCTGTAACCGGTATTGTCTAACTACCAGTCTAACCTGACTTCTGGGAGACCTTGCAATGGACAAAAGCACCCCGCCGTTGACGGCATCAGAATTCACGGCGTTCCGTGCGCTTCCGTGTCGACCAAGACACGAAGTCTCGCCAGCCGCGGTAGAAGTTCCTGGAGTCGAGGCTTAGGGGTTTTGCAGCTTCTGCAGAAGCCCATGGCGGACCTGCGAAATCAAGTCGGACCTGTGAACACAAGGGCTTGGTTCTTTAAACAGTATTGGGGATGGTTTCAGGATGTATAGACCCTGTCAAGCAGAACTGGTGGCTCAAATCCCAAAGGCTTCTGCATCAAAACCCTATATACTATGCACAGTGATCCCAGGCAAGTATCTTGATGCATGTTCAGCCCCCTCACTTAGACTATCTTAAAAAAAGTTGGAACCCTCCATTCATCCACCATCCTCACCTGCAGCTCCCCCAAAAGGTTCCTGTATTTCGTCCGATCAAAGCTCCGAGGGAGTGGCACTGGGCACTGGGGATCACATAAAACCGTGCCAGGTCACATGTAGGCTTGTGCTCGTTCCCGTGCAAACCTAGCACTGACGGTCGTTTGTCAAAGCAGGGAATGATTGGACACCCAAGGGACTCCAGCTGCTGGGCAACAAGAATGTCCAGGTCACCTGTTTTACCCTGTTTTGTGGGAAAATGTAAGAATCACACAATGAAGTGAGCATTGGATATTGGAGCACAAAGCAAACTATCTCTTGGGTCCATTCAATACCCGAGAAGAACACTCGATCAGCATGCGCATGAGCAGGTTTTGTGTACACAGTGTATGCCCTGTAAGGCCATGCTTAACAATCCCTAGGGATGAAGTGCCACCTTTTAAAAGGTACGACTGGACCCTTCTAGCACCTACATCATAGAGTGTCCAATCACCTTCACAGGTGGCAGCGGATCCATAGGGAATAACAATGACACTAATTCATCTGCTGAACCTCGACAAGGTGTAGCTATTGCGTAGTAACATCTATTAATAGCTCAAAAGTAAAACAACAAAACACGTAGTAGTAGACGCTGAAAACCCTGTGCGAAAGTAAGGGGCGGGGGGCGTGTAGGTGACCATTCAACATAACGACAGCATCATGCCTTACCTGCTGGCTGTATCGTCTTGTTATGTGTTGTTGCACATCAGTCAAAAACATACCTGGTGTTATAAAAATATGTCATATGATAAGGCCAGAATCCTTGATTTTCTTTAAAACAAACTGTCAAACAAAAAGTCAACTGGAAAAGCCAAAGTCATAAAAAACACCTGGAAAAGTGAAAAAAAACATATGTCAAAAATAAGTCAAACATAGTTCACAACTCGAAAATATCAAAACCACGTAACAAAATAAAATAGAACAACACAAGTAAAAACTAATTCGGATCAGGGCCAATTGACTTTTGTTGCCTTTCTGAAACTGTCTGATTTGACTTTTTCTTGACTTTGACATTTGGGACTGACTACTAAGTTGACTTTTTTTGATTTCTTAAATTATGAAAACGGACTCTCTCCAATGAAAAAACTATAAACCTAGGACCTAGTGCTTTCAGGGGGTGCCCAGCCAGGAGACCACTGTCCTTTTTCCAAGTGTGGGGCAGCGTCCGCGTCCAGATCCACCTTCCCCAGTCGTTCGGAAGCGGGAAGCGACGCACCAAACCCAGCTGGTGGCCGGACGGGGACGCCGTTGTGCTACTCCGTGCAGCTAGGTCTGGGACGTCAGGTAGTCAGTCAGTCACCTGACTTGGAGCTCACAGCTTCCACCTTCCCCATGGAGCTTCTACCCCCCCAGTGGATCCTCCTGGTCGCCTCCAAAACAACGGGCCGAGGCACATGTGGTCCGCACGACTCCAAGTGCCGCTCTTCAAGGCGCTCAAGACCTACCGTCTTCGGACGGATGCCGCGAGTGAGATCGGAATCAGGACGGGATCGATCGGGGAGTCGATTGGTTGACAACTGACAACCAGTTGGATTTGCTTAAAGGTTGAGAGGAATCCGGAACATCACCCTTGACGGGGGAGTCACTAGAAGGACAATAGCATATCATCAGGTGGAGGCTAATCATGGACTTTGTAGCCTCTTTCACATGATGATGATGATGATGATGATGATGATGATGATGATGATGATGAT